AGGTATGAAACAGAATAGTACCCCGCGTTTAACATTTATTTGTTTGTTGGTCTGCTAGGCATCAATGATTTGCCTTGTTTGGCTGTGTGCGTTTATTTTATGCTAATGAAATGTGCTGCACCTACGACTGCTGCTGAGTTGCACTCGTCCAGGGGTCTACGACAGTTGACCGAACACCATTTCATCGAAGCATGTTTTTGAGAACGGGCGCATTTTATCGAAACTCAGTTTACAGCAACATCAAATATTGAAAAAGGATCGCCATTTAGTGAATCTATTCAATTGGCATAAGCAAATCTGGAAGCACCTAAATGCTAGCGCGATTCACTGAGGCATGTTTGCCTATGCTTCGAGCACTCGCTCTTCTCTCTTCGGCCGTAAACCAGGCAGAACGTAAAAGTATTCTTGCGAAAACAGCAGGGTTGTGACATGCACAGAAACGTGTCTATCATACTCTGAATGTGCTGGCCGCCCAAGCAAGTGATTCGATGACTGGCTCGGCTTCACCGTCGGCCAAGGCAGAGCAAGCAGTAAAGTTCAGTGAATTCTGTTTTCCTGAAAACAAATTTGCTAAAAGGAGGTTCGTTGCCATTTTCTTTAAACTGGGTGTCTTTTTGAAAGGATTCCATAAAATGGGAGTTTCAAACCGGTGCTTGTGAAAATACATGCCTCCGCTCAGGCCCTACACGCCAACGCTCTTAGATCTATTACTTGACAAGCTCCACAGAAAAGCAGCGTTCAAAAACAGTTCTCAGTTGCTATCACGCAAGCAGGTAAGGGTAGATAACGTTCCTAGCGCCACAGCGTCAATGCCTCCACGGTCAACAAAAAACATTTTTTGAACGACGCTCTTTTTGCATTAAGTATTCTGAAGACCTTATGTTTACTGTAAAAACCACAATAAAATCACTTTCCACCGCAGGTAATGTCCATCCAGTGTTCCACCGGTTCTGTCCATCGGACGGGCCGATAGTGTAGCAGGTGCCATTGAGCAGATGCGCCACAAAAAGGTGTCGGGCGTATTCCGAAGCTTGTCAACTGACCTAGATCTGAGAACATATATACACACATTTCTACCATTGCCAAGCGGGTCCAGATATTGTTGGAGATCTGCTGTGGTCGCTGAGAAATGTTTTTACGATGTTCACACCTTGGTCAATGCAAGCACATCTTTTTCTTAGTAATATTGACTAACATTTCAGCAATCAAGGATGTTCACACCGAAATGTTGAAAGCAACAAAGAAATTAAAGCTAGGCTGTTCTTGGGGGTAATTTTATATCTTGTTTCATTGTTAAGAACAGCACTGACTTTGTTTGCCCCATCATTGAAGCATGCATATCACCCGAAAAATCGTGTTCTTTTATTGTTGTGGAGGAAGCCTACTGTATTACCAGTAAAGGAGGCTGGTGACATGTCTAGGGTACACAATCATTGCCCCATTTCCCTACTGTATGCTCGTTTGAAAGTGTGAGATTGTTACACAGACATGGGGTTTTTACTCGCTAAAAACAGCACCATGGAACGCTGCCTTTTTTTAGAAAGTCGCTCAGTAGAAATTAGTTTCTGTACACTTGAATACACGGTGCCATTTCTTTTTTCTTGGAAGCAGGTCGATATTATTTATTTCGATTTATAACAAGCTTTTGATAAAATCAACCACAAATTGTTTTTGTAAAAACCCTTATTGTATGGTGTAGCATTGCCACATTTAAAATGGTTTAATAACTCTAGAAACTCGCAAGATGAGGACGGCAGGGAGAAGTTTCAGTTGCCCTCGCTCCAGCACGAGCTTCCTACCTTTGGCAATGCTTCAAGCCCGGAGATTTCTAAGACACGCCCAGACGTTCTCATTCCGTTAGGGACTATATCTAACATATCGGCCGAATCGTGTTAGGGTGTTGAATAGACTACTGTATGTTTTGTACTAACCTGGGGCGTGCCTGGAGGACTAGATGTAGAACAACAAGAATTGCCAGGGAGGAACCTTCTACATTCGGCAATGCTTTGGCATCTTTCGAGCCTCTGCAATGTACGCGCAGACAGAGCATGAGAAAAGGCGACAAGTGCTTGCTGGAGGCTGGGCGTTAAGAGATGCCCTGTGTTTCTCATCATGTCGGCGACTATTAGCCCCAAGATTTTCTGGTGGCATCTTGTTTCGTTCACAACATCAGAGGCCGTTTGATACTTCAGCACCATGTTCCAGATAAGAGAAAAAACGGCTTTTATGCAAGGCTTGTCAAAATATTAGGTGCTGAAAAATATCGGCCATCCACATTCAGTCGTTATTGAGAACTCTAGTGTATGTTTATGTCCTGCGGCCGCATTGAAAAGCACTGCAAAAGAGCGCAAGCATGCTCCTGATCTCGCCGCACCAGTCTCCTGCACAATAAATTTTGCCTGCTATGGTCACCAAATGTCAATAGATGCACATGCCAATCCAGCGAATGAAGCCAGCTGCAGACACTCCAAATGTAGTCTACCAATGCAACAGTAGCTTTGACTCCGAGCTAGGCAATCTCACTGCAAATGGTTTTATGCCATCCCTTCAATTTATTTATAAAATTCTATAAATGTTTTCGCCGTCCGTCGCATGGGTGCTGCCATCTTCAAATCACGTGGCGGTGCAACGATTTTAACTCTGAACGAATGTGCAGCTTGTATTTTTTTATCTTGTTTACTTCGGCATAAGTAAGAGAAAACGTGCCACCATACCCCGAAATACCTCCATTTCGCTGCGTAATCACAAAATAAGAAAAAATGCTTTTTTCCAACCTGCGGCCACATGGTGGCCGCAAATGTTATCTGTGGTGTGACATCATTCGGAGTGTTTTTTGTAAGTGATAGTGCCATTGTAAGATCGATTTAAGGTTAAGTTTTAAAAAAAATCTTGTTGTTTAGGCATGCAGAAATGCTTCAAAAGCCTGATATTGCCGCTAAAAGGGTATGAATTATTTGTGGCGCCATCTACCGCAAGTCAACAAAACCTGCCGTCACCTTCAGCTGCCGACGCCCGAGGCGCCTACGGCGGCTACACGAGCAACCCGGAGGTTTTGTCTTTCCCTCGTTCGACGGAGTCCGTTAGTCGTGGTCCGTAGAATCGTGGTATCGTTATCGTTCCTCGTGTCTCGACCTCGATTTCGACTTCGATTTCCCGCCGTGGCCGCCGGCGATGCCGACTGCGTGTTGTGTTCTGCTGTGCCCGAACCGAGATTTGAAAAGTCTACGGATCCGAGGCAAAAGTCTCACATATCATCGCCTACCGCTCGAGGAACCACTCAGGAGTGAGTGGTGTCGGAGGATCGGAAGGGACCCATGGAAGACAGACGTGCGCGTATGCCCCGATCATTTCGACGAGAATCGGGACTACCGTTGCATGAGAAGTATCCTTCGTGATGCCGGGCAGACGATGCCGAGAGCCCTCCTGAAGCCGGACGCAGTTCCTACTCTTCGACTGCCCCCCGCGACGAAGCCTACCATCCCCCCAGCGAACGAAACAACGCTGAAACGTCGCAGAACTTTGGTAAGCGGCGCTCTTAATTGCGTGAACGGTATTTACAACAGAGGTTTTATCAGAAGTTTCGGTTTTCCAGGGTGATGAGCCGGGTGAAGACCTGTACTGCTTCGAGGGCGACGGACCTCGTGAGCCTCGCGAGCACTGCGGCCGTTGCGGTCCCCGAGCAACCACACACGACGCAGGTGTTCAGACGTCTGCTGAGATCCCGAGGCCGGCTCAGCCGCCTGCCGTGAGAAACACTTCCGTGGGAACAGACCCTCGGCAGGGAAAGCAGTCCGTCGGTAGGCATTAAATTTGTTTGCTCTGTATGTTTATACTGCCTTGATCGAGATGCGTCTCGACGGGTAATCGGTCTCTTAGCAGTCGATGAGAAATTTAGCCAGTGCAGTACAACCGCTAACCTGGGATTTTAACGTGCATCACGCAGTAGTGATCACACGAACGCGTGCCGGTACGAAACTCATCCAGATCGAAACGGGCGGGGGCGGCGGGGATCGAACCCAGGAGGTTCCCGGCGCAAGCTTTCGCTCCACGATCCGAGCTGAGACGCGTAAGCCCACTCGGGGCATGAAACTGGAGCAGCCTTTATTCGTGTGCTTGACGTCAGATGGTAGATTAAAAAAAATTTAAATATGTGCATGATTAGTTCCATATGCCATTATATTGTGCGCTTTATCGATAGGATGGCAATAAAATCGTGAGCGATCGAAAGCGTCGCAGCGGTCGGCCTGCCACAATTGGCCAAATGCTGACTATGACATCAGCATAGGTTTTCACATCGACGAAAATAAGACTAATGTGATAACTTCAAATTTGACTGTGTTGGTAGCGTTGGTTTTAGAGCCCATTGATTGCAAGCCTCCACCATGCTTTTTACAAACACTATCGAACTTGTTTTTCGCACGATAATTACGTCTGGACAGGGAACCATAGGAGGGTGCCACCGTAACATACGCTCGACGCGAAACTTTGTGGGTCTCGTATGAAACGAATGGTCAAAACGACTTTCTGAAGCCATAGCGTAGCTTGTTTGTAAGGTGTCTGCTTCATATGCAGCGGAACCAAATTCAATCAACAAAGCGGGCTTACTTTTTTTTTTCTCGAACTTTTTTTTGTTTGTTGTTGTTGCGGTTGTTTTGTTCAGCATTTGGCAATATTTATGGCATTTCTTTTTTAAAATTATCACTGAAAAAAAAACGAATGTTGTCGACGAGACTTCGCTGGGACTAGATGGTATGGGGGTTGCCAGCTGGACGCCGCGAAGTGTGCATGTGCAGCCCTGGGTTTTCTTCACCTTTTGTTTATTTAACTTCTATTTTGTACTGTAGTATTGTTTGCTGTCAGATCAAACAGGACATATTGTTCAAGTTCATCGTTTGCTGAGAAATGGAGCTTGCGCCGGAGTGCATTTAGCAGAAATAGGAGCTAATGCAAACCCAGGCGGAATAAGAAGTTACATATTTAAACCTGTGTCCTTTCTTCAGACACGCAGGCAAACTCCTTCGCAAAAGGTGTGACCAGTGACTGGGTCCAGACTGATGGTAGCAGCGACACCGCCATCAGTGCCAGCAGCACGTCGATCCCAGTCCCCAGCGCATCAGACGACGATGACAGCGACGACGGCGACGACGAAGACGATGACGAGGTCAAGCATCCCACGTACGAGTCGTTCATCAAAGAAAGCTGTGTCGGGTAAGATTATAGTTTTTCCTTCTCTTGAAATAGAAATTATGGGAACATGGAAGGGCTTAAAGGGACAGTGACATGGCATTTATGCTCTAGAAGGTTTTTATTGGTACTTGGCATATCAGAGCCCAACTACCCAGAACACAATTTGCGGCTCGAAATTCGAATTCCTTCCGACCGAAAACTGCCTATCGAGAACTGGCCCGTTTGAGTCGCGCTCACTATCTTCTCCGTTGTCATGTGCCGTTTTCTATAGTTTAGACACAGTCACAAAAAATAATCACAGTCGTTGATCATCGAAAGCACACACTAAACACTAAAAATAGACAAAAAATATGATATCCATTTTTTGTGACTTCTAAAGAACAAGAAATGCGTCGATTTAGTCCCCTATATTTCTTCTTCCACCCCAGTTCGGTTTCGGTCTTAAGCTGTTGTGTTTTTTTACTTGATTAAAAATATATATGACGCTGTATTAAAATATTGATTCAGTAGACTTCTGACACCATAATAGATCGCCTGGCAAAACATAAATAAAATTTGTTGGGGGTGTCACTGTCCCTTTAATTTAACGCTTGAAAACAACAGTAGCTAGAAAATAAAACAGATCTAACTTGGGCCACAGCAAAAAGAAAATTTGGGAAGTATGCCGCAGCTTAAATGAGCATGCATTCGCCGTGGTCACGGGCACAAAATCTGTCTAAACTGAAAAGCACAGATTTCTGAAAGTATTTGCTCTAATTGAGGACTATTCCCTATCGAAAAGACCATCAGGAAAATTCTGATGGTCTGATGGTCTGATGGAGTCGTATTTTGGGACGTCTGATGGTTTGATGGCCTGATGGTCTGTTGGCCTGATGGTTTGATGGTCTATTGGCCTGATGGTTTGATGGTCTGTTGGCCTGATGGTTTGATGGCCTGATGGTTTGATGGCCTGATGGTCTGTTGGTTTGGTCTGATGGTCGAATGACCTGTCGTATTTTGAGACGCCTATTTTTTTACGGTTTGATTATGGTGGTTTTATGGCTAATTTGAAACAGTTTGAGTTGGCCACAACTTAAAAAACACAACAATATGTGAATACATAATCTGGAAACTTAATTATGCCATGCCTGGAGCATGACGAGGTGCATATCCCACTTATAATTTAATTATATTGTCCACTGCACACTGGTAATCGCCAGCCCGACATTTGAGTACGGCGAATGCAGCTATTAATAAGAATAAAGTCAAACCAGCTGCATTGCTTTGATATTTTTTATTATGAAGTTATGAAATCATACATTGTTTCGCTGGGTGGAATGGCTAGGTGGTACAGAAAAACCAGAAACATTTGAGGAAGTACTATTGTGACCAATATTAGTTGAAGCGCCATGACGCATGGCGTGTGGTACTATCAGAGCCGCCTGTCGGATTTTCAGTGAACCTCTCTGTTTGCTGAGGTTTAGGCAGGTTGCTTCTTGCACTCATTGTGCCACTATGAGCTGAAAATTGACACGGAACGGCATAGTGGTGCAACGAGCACAAGAAGTGATTTGTTTCTACCTCAACGCATACCAAGGTTTGCTGAACAATCTGAGAGACAACTCTCATCGCGTGCCACGTGCAGTGGCGTTTCAGCTCATATTGGCTGCGATAGTACATTTGTTCCATTTCAATAGTATTGGCAATATATAAAGTAACCTAAATTAATATGAAGGGTAAAAAGGCTACAACATGGGGTGCAAGCGATGGCAGACCTGCAACAGCATGGGCAGTCCGTGGTGGGACCACGCATCGGGGGAGAACAGGCAGCAAAGGGATGAGCCTGGACATATCAAGGGCAATTCAGAGATCAGCAATGAGTCCAAACACAGGACGACCATTGACATACGTAAAGAGCACAGTGGGCCTAGAGACGACTAAGGGGCAGTAAGAGTGACATGCTTCATTGTAATTGTGTGACGATGCAACTTTTTGGAGAGTGAGCGAGCACGGCCTGATGGGATGGCAGTAGTGACCAAGCAACCCACAGCCTTTTTCAAGTGGTCAGCTGATCAACAGACTACTTTAAAGTTGTTTGCATAAACATTTAGATATATTAACCTCTAAATAATTTATCTATACTATCATTTAAAATAATTGCTTGTATACCTGAGACCCAAAATAGTATATTACTTAATTAAGGAAGTTAGAGTATAGATGCACATACCTTTGTAGTGATTTCTCTTGAGATTGGACAGCTTTTCTGACAGGTACCGCCGTATCTTCTGGTGCCGGGCTGCCCTTTCAGCCTGGCGGTACCTTTCTCCCTCAGGTGTAGTCAAAAGCAGCCCGGAATATTGAAATTCCAGGGTAATTATTTTTTGCAGTGCTCAGACTTAAAACAATATAGAACGTCATAAATACAGGCTGGAGGGTCATAGTTTGAGAAGACCAAGGGTAAATTAGTCTCAAATAAAAGCAATTAAGTGGCAGCTGGCACCTAACAAACCTTCAACGTTTCTTAGTATTTAAAGTGTTCAGAGATCACCATGAAAGCAAAAGTACCGCAGTATCCTGATTTATGTTCCACTCCCAATAGACAGCTCACCCTGGCTTCTGTTAGATTCTTTTAAGCACAAAACAGGTAGCCCATGTCTATAAATTTCACTGCTAGGCAAGTGACCTTGTAAGAAATAGGAGCTACAACTTTAGATAAGTAGACAATGTACGTTGGAAACTGCTTATACTTGGTTATCATCCCTCGCTGAGGTAACAGCTTAGACACGCCACAGAAATAAAAAAATAGCATCATGAGCACCACAAAGAACAATGCAGTTCTATATGAAAACAATCTTTCACACTCCTTGAAAGATCTTCATTCATGGCCTGGCTCTAAATTTAAAGGTAATTAAACAGTCTTTCAATGCGCACCTGGTGGAGGCCTCTGAAGCTTCGTTGGGAGGTAATCTAGCAATGTTGGGGATCTTGGACGTATTGGTGACATGGCGAAAACCGCTATGTAGCTGCACTACACATCGGAGCAGCGCCGCTGTTTGGAGGTATACTCAACTGTTGGAGTAATCTCGCCCTGAACGCGATGACCTTGACATTACTTATCTCACACATAGGCGCTTAGACGGCTTAGTCCGCTTTGGTCCACGTAAAGCCCACAGGTGTTTCAAATGGCTAGGCTGTAACACGTCTACAACACCACTATGCACCCGAACGGCACAGCTCGTAGCCACGCCAGCTTTGCCGGATAGCCCACGACGCATCGAGCTCTCCGTTGACTTCTCTTCGAGCACTTGCTCGAGTTTGTTGCTTAGAACGAAAAATAAAATGATCTGTTCAAAATACAAATGTGCGATTATTTACGGTTATTATCTGTTATGATTGACTCATTCTTGGTGGGGTACCCCCATCACATGTACAGGTGTTAGCAGACAACCTACTAGAGTAAAATCTCGGTGATACTAACTGGTACGAATTTCGGAATAAAGCAAATTAACAAATTCCCCGGCCGAAGTGCATTGTATACGACGTGAAAATTTTTGGGTGTTCCGAATTCCTCTACGCGCTGCGACGGCTGATACGAATGCGTGCTCCACAACTGATAGTGGCAAGGAGGCCACGATCGGCGACTGTAAGCTTTCAAGGCTCCGGGCGGCTGATTGCCTGCTGCTGCCAGGGATCAGCACTTTACCCAAAAACTGGAGCTCAAAATTACATGCATGTTACAATCGGACCCAAAAACCAAAACAAAACAAAATAGTAAAAAAAACAGTGCAAAGTGGCCAGCCCCATCACCATCAACACATGTTTCAAATCCAATCCAATCTGAATCCAAAATCGCTTTTTTTTGTTTTTGCGATCTCGTGGAATGGTGTTTCAGCCTTGGAAAAGCAAAACCGATTTTACTATAAGGTTACCTCTAAAAAACAAAGTAACAGCGTTGGCAAAAACAGAAAACCGAGTGATGTTGGTGGTGTCTTCGGTGTGGTCCACGGTGACATGCGAGCTTGGTTGGAAAGACAAAGAAACCGAATGTTTGCTTGCAAGTTTTTGATGTAGGGCTTCAACAGCACATAGTGTGGGCACTTTCTGAGTATGTGCATTTGAGTAAATGTTTTCCACAAAGTGTATGTTGTTCAGCCGTCATTATTTTATCTGCGAAGTAGAATCGACATTTATCTGCGCAGTAGAATCGACATTAATTAATGTTTTCAACATTCGTGGGTTGATTATAACCGTGTGTTACTATCGGGGGCATGTTAGAATCGTGTAAATTGCATACAAGATATTTTCTGCCATAAATAAATGCACATTCATGCATTCCTTGTGTTTCAAAATATAAATTTTGTTTCGCTTTCGTTGATACGAATTTAGCATGAAATATTTTACGCGACTCCGCGAGATTCATATCAAGATTTTAAAAATGTTTGCTTACTGAGAGAGCCTGCACCTTGCGCTGAGTGAGCGGGGCAAACGCCTCCTCTTGCCTCGCTGCCTTTGCCTTGTTGGAGAGGGTGCCGGTCACCGACCTCTCCAAAAGCACTTCCACTCACCCTATGGAAGCAGCAGTGATCTTGCAAAACATGGAGTCGCACTCTGCTTTCCGCATGTTGCCCGCATTCCTGGTTGACGTGCACACCTTGCCCGACATGGATCTGTTATAAACAAAAGCGAGAAACAGCTTCACATATACCAGTCGTTGACGTAGAGTGGTACTGTATACTCCAAGATGCATTGAAAATGCACTAAAATAATTAATTACATTAATGAAATTTAGGCCTTCAAATTTAAGACAGCACTACACATGAATTCCTATCTTCATGGGCGTCTGCGAAGCTGATGGGCCTACAGAGCTTCATGGCATCTGCATGAAACAGCTACATAATCCCTTAGTTGCATCAGGTGAGCATGACAACAGAATGTTTTCCAGGCACTGGCTGTAACTACAATTAAGAGCCTGGCTACAATAATGTTTTAATGACTTCTTGTTGCAATCGGTTCAATCTACTGTGCTTACGTTATCTCAGGAGTGGCCATAGTGAGGCTCGCGAGCCGCACGCGGCTCTTTGCGGGTCCAAGTGCAGCTCGCGGCTCCCTGGAAAACGTGTCCCCTAGACGAAAAGGGTTCTTGAATTTAGAAAGAGCTACAAGTCTTGGCAGCCTGGCAACACACTACATATATACATCTGGAATGCTTTTTGCGACATAGATACGTCGAGTGACCCTGTTTCCTTTATCGTTCTAGAAAGACTTTCAACCGTATACGCATAACAGTTGTCAGGGGCAGTGACTGGCTAGTGAATCGTGTATTAATTTTTGCTTAGCAGTGGAAAGGACCTTCTGATGCATAGTGTCATTTATAATGTAGTGATTGCGCAGGCGAGCTGGTGGATGTTAACCATTTTGTTCTTAGCCCGAGACTGATGCAGGAAAAGAGGAAAGTTTCAAAGTAGAAGAAAAATGAACAGTCGAGGACACGTCTCTAACACAGCTCAAAAGAGCTGTGTTAGAGACGTGTTCTCGACTGTTCATTTTTCTTCTACTTTGAAACTTTCCTCTTTCCCTGCCTCAGTCTCGGGCTAAGAACAAAATAGTGTCATTTGTTGTTATCGCCCATTATACTTGTCCTCTATGGAAATAACTGTTCCCTCCATATTGTTTCTTGTTAAAAGTAGTCCCCCCCACTTTCTTTTTTCCAGCGACTCTAAACTTTCGTAGTTTTGTCTGCGGCTCTAACTCCATGTCACTCTGGCCACCCCTGCACTATCCTAAACTCTTTTAATGTATATTATACACTGAATGAAAGTAAAAAGTTTTTCTATTTTACCATTCCTTCCTTTTCTGGAGGCCGATGCTAGGATCCACGATCTCATTCTTTGCAAGGATGTCCTCGTCAGCAACTGAAAAAAACAATTTCACATGAAAAAGGTACAGAAACCAAATTCCAGCGCTCATTTTATCGCTTTAATGAGTTGCAGGTTGCAACATAATCTCAAAAATACCAGTCCTTTGCTGAAGGGCACAAGCAAACTAATTTTAAAGCTAATCAAACAATCTTTCAATGTGCACCTGGTGGATGCATGTGGAGCCTATTTGGGAGGAAATCTAGCAACATTGGGGAACTTGCTACGTAGTCATGACGTAGGAAGGACATTCCTCGGTCATTCTGCTCAGCAACAGAGCGCAGCCACAACAGTAGAGTAGAGAGCTCTTTGCCGTTTATGCCTTCTTTCTCAGCATTATTGTTTCCACCCTTTATGAATGAATATCCTCTATGCAAGATATAAGCCATGTGTTGCATATGACATGTTCGGCTCTATCACCGCACAGCAAACTTCTCTCATATAATGCAGGTTCATTAAAAAAGTTGCCTTTTTAATGCTAAAGCATGGGTTCTGTTAGTACGGTAAACATACGAGTACCCAGAGGTCAGGCCATAAATGACTTACGTGTTAGGCAGTAGGGCCCTACAGCACCTCCCGCATCAACAGCCGAGCCGCAGGTAGTCCTGCAATTGATAGAGCAGGGTAAGTCAGAAAGGTGTTTCTAGCAGCTCTGCCGGTGTGATCCCTAGCAGCATTTCTCAGGCATATTGGGGTGTAGGCAGAAAGCATGGCATTCCTCATCAACAAATCATGACAACACATTGTTGCCGGCATCAAACTGGATCCCTGTGCTATTTTTCTTTTGTGATTTAGTTGATTCTTTGTCTTCCTTGTCACTCCCGACTACTTTACTGGCCTTTGTAAAATAAAGAAGGCTTGGTAAACTGCAAAGCCTTGACTGAGTGGTGAAGCAGAGCAATCCCAAGGAAGTATAAATGTTAAGGACTCGACATGACATTACGCAGTGTTGGGATTCCCAAGCTGCTTTCTACACTCACATTTTGTGCACGACCAGCTCTCTTTCTGCATCAGTTGGATTGGTCAGTTGTGTGCCCGTTTCGGTCGCTGCTAGCCATATGTGGCTGGCGCTGCTTTTGAGAGCCTTGCAACATCGTCACTTTCAGCTTTTGTCCTGACATAAACCGCATCTAAAAATTTAAATAGCGCGAAGATTTAGCTTATGGACACTCCCAGAAAAAATAGGCTGTACCACATTACATAGAGAGGTAATGATATTCTGGTGACAAAATTTCCACAAAAACTGCTTTGCGTTAGAGCGCACAAGGGCTGACGTTCCTGGGAGGAGCAGCTTTCTGTGAACTTGCAAATGCTTCAGCTGCCTGTTTGCGCCTGGCCAGTTCAGTTGCCATTTCCTCTTGGGTTTCTTTTAGGTACAGTCGGGGACAAAAGTCCCCAGTACACGCAAGCTGCGACTGAAACGCATTCCTCTGCCATCTGCCGGCGGGTCGCCTGGTTTCGAGATCACAAAAAGGGCGCACGTGCGTCCTATTGTACCTGCCAACGTGTGCGCTTTCCCGCTCTGCTGCGGCGCGGCGCCTAACTCGGAATCGGGTGCGTGGTACCACTTCGGAGATAGTGCTTACTGACATGGCACCTATAAAGCAAGAAGTCACGGCAGCTCAATTAAGCGATAAGCTGAACTGGTTATAAAGCAAGGTGCGCTGACACAACGAAATGCGGCGCAATGCCCCAGGCGGTATCTCGAGTTTTGGAATGTATAGCAGACGCTCGTCAGCCGCCAGCGCTATCTCCGAGGCAGTACCATGTGCCCGATTCCTAGTTAGGTGCTGTGCCGCAGAAGAGCAGGAAACGCACATGTTTGCAGGCAGAGTGGGACGCGCATGCTCTTTTGTGTGATCTCGAAACCAGGCGACCCGCCAACAGGTGGCAGAGCAATGGGTTTCAGCCGCAGCTAGCACGTCCTGGGGACTTTTCTCCCCGACTGTACATTTGTGATCATGAATAAATAAATTGGTCAGGAAGCAATGGCAGCTGATGCAACATCAATGCAAGCCATGTATTATATGACTCGCATGAATCGACATTGAATCAGCCACGATTGTGTGCCTTAGTTTGTGCTGCGGAGCGCAAGAGGTTGGCGCTTTGTTCATTAAATGGACAGAAGCGCCACCAAAGGACTGACACTCAAGCGTGCTCTTTTTGCACCGAGTATTTCTCGAAGTGCAAGTCATTTCTTTGCGCTGACAGAAACGTCGCCGAGACGAGGAGTGCAGTGGATCGCTGCCTCATTTCAGTCGAAGAATGCTTAACCCAGCGAGTAAAATGATTTGATTTCAAAGCCAGGACCATTACGGAAAAGGTTTGTTCCCGAATCTCACATGAAAACGAATTACCCATCGAACAGTAGCGTTATGATGGTACAGCGACAGAAAAGTTGTCGAGATGAGAGGACAGTCCGATCGCTGCCCTTTGTAGAATGCACAGCCCTGCAAATAAAGATACTTCGATTGGAAAGCGAAAACGTTGCGGAAAAAGTTTGTCCATGCATCTCGCCTGAAGACTAATTAATGTGCTATTTATTGAACGGCGGTGTGCCAGTATTGGAGTAGCACATCGACAGGTTCCGTCTCGCGCTGGAAGACGGAAACCCAAAATATCTGACAAGTTTGAGAGTTTCTTGTTTTGACAAGCAAGTTCAAGAATGTTGTCTTTCATTTGAATCTAAACAGCATGCATGGTCAATAAATAGATCGGTCAAAGTAACATTCAGCATATCTGGTCGAAGCGAGTCTTCAAACCTTTCACAAATATTAAAACATTCGTAAAAATTTCCTAACGTCGCCGGGGATTTTTCTTTTTTTTTTTTTTTTTTTTGGGGGGGGGGGGTTTACTTCACCATTTTACAGAGCCCTTAATTAATTTATCTTCAAAATAATTTTGGCATCCGCGAGATGCTGGGTTTGTCATAAAACTGTGGTCGGAAGTGGCTCATAGAGCTCGCCGACAGCTTCGGTGTGTTGCACTACTGTACGCTATGCTTCGTTTAGTTGCTGCGCTCGGAGTGTGAAACTCGGAACGGTGGAGTACGAGTAAATTAGCGCGGACTTAAGGCACAGGAGCAATGGCGGCTTGTAGGGTGCCATATGATGTCACCTGCAAGGCAGTTCAGTCCACACGCTCAACTGAAGTATTAGCCCATGCATTCATCTGCCTAGCTTGGTGCCCCATATAAGCAGTCTACAATATTCACTTTTAATTACAGTCGCAATAAAAAAGAAAGAAAACGGCAATTGCTTGTGGCTACGTCGCACTTTGGGATGGTAAAAAATACGCACTCACCCGTCAGTTCGAGGATCTCGGCGTCGTAATAGCCTCCTCGAGTGTTCGCGTCGCCGTCCCCAGACACCTTGTACGCCGTCCTACGCTCGAAGTCGACCACATTCGAAGGATTGCAGTTTTTAAATAAAGCCCTGTGGACGTCGCTTATTTCTCCGTTCTCGCAAAATCGAGTTAAACCTACCGAAATATCTAAAACCTCGAAAACACTGCACGAGGAAGGGTGAGGCTGCCGAGGCAACAAAGCGCACGAAACAACTGGATTTGGATTTGGATTCGAAGCTTTTGAAGACGCAGTTGCTCGAACGGATATAAGCGGCGAACGTTTTTGAAAATATAAAGTATACATTAAAATTAACGGATCGTCGAGTGTCGAACACTGCGTATGAACTTGAATGAAAACATTTTTGAGAGAAATCTGTCAAGTGTCAACACTGCGTGTAAAGAAACTGGCGCCGCAAGTAGCCGATGCGTCGGCAGTAGCCGATACATTAAATACTAACTCATAATTTACGCAACCCTCGACAGTCCTCCGCCCGTGGCGGGAGAAGAAGAAGAAGCCGTTCGGAACGGCAGCGAGGAACATGATGTCTGGTGGAAACACCGTATCGGCCACTGGCCGAGTTAACCCCGTATCATCCGACAACAGTACAAGCGACTACAAGGTAATCCTTCCCCGCTTTCCAACCGGAAACCTCATTCTAAACTCCGTATTCCTTCATGCCGACATAAGCGCAAGGCGTTACTCAGCGCCAGACTTTCGTGATGCCCTCAAAGACGTAATAGATCTCCGAGACGTAAAGGCAACCGGACAATACCAGATGAGCCACATTTGGATGGTCACCTGCACAAACGCGCTCGCGAAAGCGAAGCTGTGCCAGCAGAGAGAACTTCTCGTCAAAGGACGAAAATGTCTGGTCATAGACCCAGACACTCGTGACATCAAGATAAAAATCATTTGGTTACCAGACCACCTTGAAGACCGACGTGTCGCTGAGGCTCTGCAGGCCTACGGAACCGTGCGAAGCATGAGCCGGGAGAAAAGGAGATGCCCCGGCATGGAACATATGGACACATTAAATAGAGAAGTGAACATCACACTTCACGACGACATCACGATTGAGAAAGTGCCACATCTCCTGAAGATTTTTGGGTGCCAGTGCCTCCTACTCGTTCCAGGACGTCCACCTCTATGCCTCAGGTGTAACAGAGTTGGGCATGTACGCCGCCAGTGCAAGACCCCCCGCTGCTTTAAATGTGGAAGGTACGGGCACACGACTGATACGTGTGTCACAACGTACACAAGTAAGCTCCTTGGACCGAGAACCCAAGAGGCCGAAGAACAAAGTGAGCTGCTTATGGATGTCACGGAGGTCCTCGACGCCTTGGGGCACACACCACCGGCATCAACGATGGAAAAGTTCGTGGAACAGGAACACCCAAGGACAGCACCCGCCATCAACGAATCTAAGGATGACCCTGGGGGCCTCTCGGAGCCACCACCACCTGCCGAGGACGGCACGTCATCCTCATCATCAGAGTCAACGATTGTCAGCGAGGCGGTTACAGAGTGCGACGATGAGCATGACGAGGCGGATGCGGAACCCACAATCATCACACCGGCCTCTGAGACGTCGAGACCAACGGATGAACCAGAAGGAACTTCAACGCCCCACCCGACCAAAAGTTCCTCTTCCGAAGAGCTCCCTTCGAAGAGGTCCAAAAAAGACCTCCAGCCGGCAGGAATGCGGCACAAGCCGTACTCCAAGCTACTGGAGAACCTCAAGGGTACCGAGAACAGCACCTAAAATGTCCTGATGTATCCCGCCCTTCCATTACATATTCTAACGCTAAACGTTAGAGGTTTAGGGTCTAGAAGGAAGCAGTTTCAGCTGTTGCGTCTTTTGGAAAAAGAGAAAGTTGACGTTGCGGCAGTACAGGAGACAAAATTATCTACGGATGAAGGCATCGCAGACGCATTAGAACCTTTTCTTAAGGATTACGAAATCTGCGTTAGCCAAGCCAAAGGAGTCTCTGCCGGATGTTTTCTTTTTTTTCGTAAACAGCTCGAGCTATCATCAGTTTCCATTCTTAATGACCTGGAAGGGCGTCTTATTTCCTGCGACATTAGTTTTAGGCAGATAGAATGGCGCTTTATTTGCCTGTGTGCTCCAAATACGCCTAGAGAAAGAACATCATGTTTTGAACTTATTTCGCCACTTTTCAACACAAACAGAACAATAGTTGCAATGGGAGATTTTAACTGTGTTTGCAGTCCAGACGACCGATCGGTGTCAGAAACTAGGTACGACGGAAGTGCCGCTGCTCTACGGAGCACGCTTCAAGACCATAACCTTATTGATGTTGCTTATAAGAAAGGTGAATCGATACGCTACACCCTTTTCCAAGGAACGTCTCACGCACGATTAGACAGAATATATGTTTCTGGTGATATAATCGACTCCATGAGTAATTATCAAGTCAAACCAGTTTTCTTTTTCGATCACTGCCTGGTATCAGTCTGCTTTGGGCCGCGCAGACTCCGAGGTGTTCATCTGCAGTGGGAACACTGAAGCTCAACCTTAGGCTTCTAAGTGATGAGCAATTTTCAACTAACATCTCCTTACTTTTGTCGAATATATTGCAAAACAATGACATGCACATCTTTGCGAAATGGGATAGTTTCAAGCAAGAAGTAAAAAACATCGCAATCGAACGCTCTACAGTTGCATCATATAAGAACAAACAACAGCAGCGTGACCGTTTTAAAAATTTAGTAACTCTGAACGAACTTGAATGCTTAAATCCAGGCGCGTACAGCGACGATGTCAACATAGTACGAGCCCAGCTTCAAAAATATGAAACCGAAAGGTACCGCGGAGCATTAATTCGCTCGCGAAAAAAACGCTTTCTCCTCGGTGAACAACCTACAAAAAGATCTCTGGATGACGAAAGGCGTAACGCACTGTCAAAGGAAATAGTAGAAATCAACAAAGATGGATTGATAATCACCAACGCCACTGAAATAGTTAAATCTTTTCACCACTTCTACACAAATATTTTTGGAACAGTAATACCTACAAAAGAGAAAAGTGAAATAGAGCAGCTACTAGCACAGATGCCAAAACTTGACGAGGAAGATCGCAATCTAATTGAAGGTCTCATAACATTAAACGAAATTAAGGCCGCCATTAAATTTCTCCCAAATGGGAAAACACCGGGACCTGATGGACTAAGCGGTGAATTTTACAAAAAGTTCCAAGACATCATATCTCCTGCTTTACTCGCTGTAATTGAGGAATCTTATATTCAGAAAACACTCCCCACTTCATTTTACCGTGGACACACGGTATTGCTGCCAAAAACAAAAGATCCTGAAATGCTTAAAAAGATGGAAAACTACAGGCCAATATCACTCTGCAACGTAGATTATAAAATTTACGCTAAAGTGCTGAATGAAAGACTTCAGTGCGTAATAGAAAAACTGGTAGGTGAGCACCAAACTTGTGGGATGCGCGGCAGAGCTATCCAAACGAACGTACATGTTGCCCGTTCCGTCCTAGAGTCAGTGTCAGAAAATAACGACCAGGTTGCACTTGTACAAATAGACCTTACAAAAGCCTTTGACCGTGTGAGCCATTCATTTTTATTTGCCCTTCTTGAGCACGTAAACGTGGGAGAGACACTTTTGGAAGGAATCCGACTTTGCCACATGCGTAGTTCGACACGACTGAAAATCAATAACACACTTTCCGATGAAATTAAGATCAAATCTTCCGTGAGGCAGGGCTGCCCTCTCTCTCCCCTCCTTTTTGCATTGTATTTAGAGCCCTTGTGTCTTAGCATCCTGAAAACAGAATGTATCCGTGGATACTCTGTAGCAAATGTTGAGGTAAAAATCCTCGCATACGCAGACGATGTCGGATTTTTTTGCGTTGACAAGAAGAGTGTCAAGAAAGCGCTTGACCAAACAGCGCGTTACTGCGCAATCACAGGGGCTTCAGTGAATACATCTAAATGCAACGGCTTCTGGTACGGTTCCTGGGCCACCCAACCACGTTCTTTTGCGGGGATAGCGTGGAACCAGGGGCCGATCACATATCTCGGAGTACCGCTTTCACAAATTCGTAGTAGCTCGATGTACTGGTCCTCCCTTGCGACCACACTGAAAAGGAAGGCGGATGCGTGGAAAGGTAGAGACATTTCCATTTTTACAAGAGCAAGTGTCTGCAATATATTCCTTGCTTCAAAGCTTATGTACGTCCTTCAAGTGCTCCATTGCGCTCGAACTGACATCCAAAAATTCCATTGAATATTTGCCACTTTGATATGGTGCTCAACGTGGGAACGTGTAAAAAGGGACAACCTTTTCCTCCCTCTCGAATCTGGTGGTTTAGGACTATGTCACATTTTTGTTCGCCAGTTAGTGTCAAGATTTTTTTTCTTTAAAAATGCCAATCACGAGTTCCTTAGAGTCATACTCCAATCACGCCTTGCTGAGAGTTTAAGTTATCTTGTTGTTTCAACGGGCGAAACGTCGAAAAATAGGCCCTGGGGATTTTTAAAGGAAGTTGTAGATACCTTCAATTTCCTAAAAACACGGTTTTCATTGGAATATTTGTTTAGCGTGTCGAGGAAGACACTGTCGAGGAATATTACGGATAGCTTGTTTTCTCTGCCACTTTATCGTACCCGCTTCACGCTAGAACCTATCAATGATGTTTTCAAAAGAGTAAAAAAAAATGGGCGTGCCTCCCGCAACCAAAACATTCTTCTTCAAATTGCATACATCAACCTTACCAGTAAAAACTTACCTCCAGGAAAAAGGAATATTTGTACCGTGGACTGTTAATTGCAGACTTTGTAACAAGCCAGAAACCATAGAGCACTGTTTTATTTATTGCAACGACGCATTTTTATTTTGGGACGTTCTGCAGCGCACGCTAAAAAAATATCTAATTCTTAATGACTACAGTCTTCGCTTCCTCCCGTTCGCCGAGAACGAAACCGTCCCGTACGACATGTTCGCTCTGTTGGGACTACATAGCCTATGGAAATGTCGAATGATTGATAGGCATGCAGAGAAACCCCGTACAACGAAATCGCTTTTCCTGGAGCTTGTAGCGCAAGTGAGGAGCGTATACGCTTCACCTCTTAGTCAACCAGAGTGGTTTGCCTTGTTCAATGCATGTCTAACTCTCCCAGATTTCTGAAAAACTCCATTGACGATATATTCTTTTGGCAACATTGTATTATACTTGTCGAGATTTTTGTGTTTAAATTTATCACACCTACTGGCCACATGTACAAGATGCCAAATATAAGGTGCGTGTGCGACATTGGTATATAAATACAGTGTGAAAGCGAATGTTTCGTAGGTGTATATACCCATAAGTGTCAACATGTTATGTCACTTCTAAAAATTTTCCATGCATTAAAGAAAAAAAAAAAAAAACCTCTGCCCGTGGCGCAGGTGTAGCGCGTCGGCATACGGAACGAGAGGTCGCTTGTTCGACTCCCCCCGGGAAAAGGAAGAAAACTTTTTTTTGTGTGTGTGTGTGTGTTTTTTTGTGTTTTTTTTATTTTTATTATATCTCTGATGGTGGCGGTGGTGTTGAAAACTTTAACTCAGTCTAAAACCCCTGCGAAGCTGCTTCGTTAACGACCGCCCTGGTCCAAAAGGGTTCTAATGCAGCTGAATACTGAATAATGCAGGTTTTTCTACCTTTCCTGTCGCCGGTTTTAGCACCTTTCGTGACTCGACGTGTTTCCGCTCAAGAACTTTCAAGGTCGTCTGAACGACGAGACATATAAGGCTTTTCCTTAATAAAAAAAAATCACATCAACTCATTGACCACGCGGCTGCGGCCCATCATATATCATACGCGAGATTCAACGACAGCTTTTTTTATCGCGACATAGCCTCAAATCGCCTATTTTGTAGCGTGCAAAGTTGCGGAGCCTCGTCGACTTTGGGCCGCTCATTCAGCGGTGGCGCATTCCCCCGACTATTTAACCTTTGAGCAAAGTAAAGCAAAGCAATGGCCGCGCGGTCTGTTTGGAAGCTGAACTTAATTGCCGCCGCGACCGTCCGATGCGCACAACGGTTGCGGGGCTCGGGGGGTGCCGTGTCTATAAAAATTAATGTGTCGACGAAAAGTCTGTCCACCTTCCGTTGGTAATGAAAGGCGTAGATGAAGCATATGCGAAACGATGAACCCTACCGTGAGTACGGGTTTCCACGGTGCGTGATTGCAGACGAACGCACACTTGCCGATGAATTGGGGACTCAGTGAGTAAAGACAAATCGCGTGACATAGTTGTGTCAGCACCTCGCGAGCCCGCGACTCATCACATGCTGGCAAATATGTCGCGACCCATATATCAATTGTTATTAAACGCCGATGACAGCGCCGTCAGAATACCGCGAGCAACAATTAATCAAGCACTTTTGATAAACATTGTGCGCAAAGAAAGTCCCGACGGCCGGGAAATAAGGCGCTTTTGATGGAACCGAAGTGAAACATAAAACTTCTGACGACCATTAGACCACCTCTGACAGCCCATCAAGAGTGTCCAACAGACCATTAGGCGCCGTCAGGAACTTCTGACGGACCATCTAAGCGCATCTGATGGTCCATCAGGACAGTCGGATGGTGCGTCAAGAATGGGCTGATGGTCCATCAGACTTTCTTGATGGTCCATCAGACCTTCTTGATGGTCCATCAGACCTTCTTGTTGGTCCATCAGGAAGCCTGATGGGCCATCAAAGAAGTCTAATGGTCCATCAGGACAGTCGGATGGTGCGTCAAGAATGGGCTGATGGTCCATCAGACTTTCTTGATGGACCATCAGACCATCTTGATGGTCCATCAGGAAGCCTGATGGGCCATCAAAGAAGTCTAATGGTCCATCAGGAAAGTCAGATGGTCCGTCAGGAATGGGCTGATGGTCCATCAGGAGTGGGCTGATGGTCCATCAGACTTCTTTGATGGTCCATCAGGAAACCTGATGGACCATCAGAAAAGTCTGATGGACCATCAAGAAACTCTGATGGTCCATCAGGAAAACCTGATGGTCTTTTCGATCGGGTTTTTGTCAGAGCCGTTCTTACTTAGAAGATTTCTAGGATACCCTGTCTTTCTGGAATGAGCCAAATCACTGCCATTGAAGGGCAGGGACATGAGAGTTTGGTCAGTCAGTAAGCCTCTACGATAGTCAATATCTATTTGTTTTATTCAGATTCGAGTGGTATGATCATGTTTGAAACCACTGGTGGTTATAAGATGACCCTTGTTAAAAAGCAAAAGCCAATCGCCTTCGTTGTGGTGAATGCTTATATTGTTTTTGTCACACAGAGAAGGCTCGCAGTATAAAAAGAAAATAAAACGCTACGGGTAATCACACAGAGTGCACTGTCAGTTGCTAGCATTGCCGCATTATGATCAGCATGAAGCATGATAATTTATGACGGTGCCCACAAATTGTAAATAAATTTATAACTCATTCTAGCACTGTGAGCTGAGAAAACATTCCAGCCCTTATATTATGTGTGTGTTTTTTTGTGTCAATGCAT